AAGATTTTAAGAAATACTTTTTTTCAGTAAGAAAGCATTGCATTAATCAAAAGTAAAGACATGTATAATGTTACAAAAGTTTTCTATTTCAAATAAATGCTGTTCTTTTGAACTTTCTATTCATCTGTGAATCCTGAAAAATAAAATGCATCACAGTTTCCACAAAAATATTGTGCAACACAACTGTTTTCAACATTGATAATAATCAGAAATGTTTCTGGAGCAGCAGATCAGCATATTATACTGATTTCTGAAGATCATGTGACACTGAAGACTGGAGGAATGATGCTGAAAATACAGCTGCGCATCACAGAAATACATTACAGTTTAACAGAGATTCACATAGAAAACAGCTGTTTGAAATTGAAATAATATTTCACAATTTTGCAGTATTTCCGATCAAATAAATGCAGCCTTGGTGAACAGAAGAGACTTCCATCAAAAACATTTTAAAAAAATCATAATTATTGCAGACTTCTGAACAGTAGATGTTTATATAAAGTCCAAGCTCACCAGAGAAACAGACTGTGCAGGTTGTGATTTAGTGTGTGTGTGTGTGTGTGTGTGTGTGTGTGTGTGCAGCTGCATCTGGCTGCGCTGGCGTCTCTGAAGGGCGACGTGGTGGAGCTCAACCAGCGGCTGCTGCAGACCGAGAGAGAGAGAGACGCGCTGGAGAAGAGACTGGCCAAAGCACAGGTCACTACACACACACACCTCCTGGCACACGTGATGTTTGCACACAACAAACCTACATGCCATCTCTGCAGTGCATCCATACTCTCCATCTCACTGAAAACCAGCATCCATCCAGAAAACACAATCAGCTCCACTTCCTTTCTTGAAGCTGTTCCTGGACTTTATGCGAATTATGCATCCACTGCCTGTGACTGATCATAAAGGAAAAAATCTGTTTGCATTTGTAATCTTTAATTCAAATCTAATTACTTGCTATAAAGTTACATTACTTTTTTGACATCACTTAAACCCACAAGCTGGGGTTTGTGAGTCAATAAATAGCTAATAATTAATAAAATCATAAAAAATGTAAAACAAATTAATAAATTAGTAAATCATTTGAAAATAGCAACAATCATCATAAAACATAAAACAATTAAATATTTGATCAAGTGACCATTAATTGACATCAGATAATCATGAACATGCAAATAAGTTGTGAAGTTATGGACATATTAACTTGGACATTTTAAAATCTGGTTAACTACTAGCCAAATTACTGGTTAGATTTAATGTATATTATGTTTATTTATATTTAATGTTGTGAAGCCAAAGACAAATTTCCACTTGTGGACAATAAAGGAAAGTAAGTAATTTTGTTATGGTCAGTGTTTGTTTGTTTATATTAATAAAATTATATAGATTTTAATTTTAGTTTGAATTAATTTTTATATTTATATTTTAAGAGTTTAGTTGTTTTTAGTTTTTTTGTCATTTTATGTCTTTTTATATAGTTTCTGTAGGCTATATTTATACATATATAGTTTTTAAAATTAATTTTAAATTAAATTTTTGTTTTAACCATGGAAATAAAAATGGAAAATGTTGCTTTGGCAGCTAGCTGAAATATTTTTTAAACAAGTTTTTTTTTTTCAGTTAACATTTATTTTATTTTAAGGAACAAATTAAATATATTTCTATAAAATCAATTTTTCTGTTTTTATATTTAGTTTGCAGGGCTGATTCTGGTATGTCAAATTCATTTTTCACCATGCAATCATTTGATAAATAATATTTTTTTTACTCTAATATTTTCGGTATAATCTAAAGTTGCCAATATTGTAAAGTGTTCAAATTAAAAAATATATATATATATATAATTCACAGTCATTCACAATAAGAGCAGTAACGCATTAAAGTCAGTGTGATTTCATGTTTTCAGTGAACTTGAGCCTGATTCGTGTCATGCATGTCATCGCTGATCTTCAGTGTGTAAATGTCATGTTTTCCATCTCTTGAGTGTCTCACAGTTTCCCGTCATTAGCCATGCAATCATTTGATAAATAATATTTTTTTTACTCTAATATTTTCGGTATAATCTAAAGTTGCCAATATTGTAAAGTGTTCAAATTAAAATATATATATATATATAATTCACAGTCATTCACAATAAGAGCAGTAACGCATTAAAGTCAGTGTGATTTCATGTTTTCAGTGAACTTGAGCCTGATTCGTGTCATGCATGTCATCGCTGATCTTCAGTGTGTAAATGTCATGTTTTCCATCTCTTGAGTGTCTCACAGTTTCCCGTCATTAGTGTCATGTCTGTGTGGGTTTGATTGCTAATTAATCAGGCGTCTCTGGTTATCGCACTAATGTGGAGACCCCAATTAACACTTCTACAACAGCTGATATTAATCATTAATTGTGTCTAGCAGCTCTTTCATGCTTTTATCTACAGTGTTGAGTTTTTACTTAAAGGCACGTCTGTTGAAAAAATTATCTGATGCATTATAAATCACGTTTGATTTTTGAATGCTGTGTTATAAAAAAGTCAATTTTATTTTCTAAAAAAAAATGTGAGTGGTGTTTGACTATGCAGAACGCCACGCAGTGATTGTTGTGCAGTTGCTAAGGTGTTTGGAGTTGTTTTCTGTGTAGTTGCTAGGGTGTTATAGGTGGTTGCTATGTGGTTGGTAGCATGTTGTAGGTGGTTAGATCTTTGGATTGGGTCTCTCTGTTAATATATATATATATATTCATTTTATTATGTGAGATTATAAGGCCCTCAATTAGCTATCAACCATCAACCGCTTTATGATGGATATAGTAGTTAACTAAACTATAAATAAAATAAAACAATAAAAAAATTGTTACTTCAAATAAACTGAAACAAAATGTAAAAATGTTGCATTTGTTTGCATTAAACTTGATGTGCTAAAATAACTAAAACTTAAATAAAAATGAATAAAGAAATCATGTAGACATTTAAAAATATAAATTTATAAAAATAAACAACAAAATAAAAAAATTTAACTAAGATAAAAAAATGGGAAAATGGAAAACATAAAATAAAAAGTAACTCATAATATTAGTAAAAATAATAAAATCATAATGATGATTTAAAAAGCATCTCAGTGATACTCAAAGAACATATGTGACCTGTGACGATGAGCACATTTTCAAAAATGAGTAATTTTTATTTTTCACATTCAAAATGATGTATGAATTGTTGGAATCTGATGAAAAATGACTGAGCTACACCCGTTTGAAGTTGACAAAGTCAGCAAAGTCCATTAAGGTTCCAAAACAAAATCACCTGCAAAGTTGCATTGTTTCCTCCACTTCCTTTCTTAATATTAATTACTATATTAATAATCGCAATATAGCCATTTTTTATTTTATCTTTGTTATTAAAAATAAGAACAGATGCAAAGAAAACAACAGCAGTAGAACAAATATAAGAAAGAAACAAATAGTGCATTACATTTTTACATCTAAACAAAAGCATTCAAGAGAGAAAAACAAATAATCAAATGTAAAAATCGCTTCAGTGTGTTCATTAAAAATAAATTGATTATTAAAACTACAAAAGTAGTTCAATCAAGAGCAGCGATCTTTTCTTTTATTGTTAGATTGCTTTCAGTTTGACTAATAATCATCAATTAGTCGTAATTATTTATATATAAGAATTTTTAAAAAGTACATTTGTATATATTATATGTTATCATTTCAATAAATATTCCAGGGTATAAAACTAAAGTTCTATCAGTTATGATATATATATATCGCTTTGCAATGATAATGTACATTCTCTGTTTTCAGATCATTAAAAGTACATTTTGAAATATCGTGCACCCTGTTTTATGGAATTTAAGTAGCATTTTTTTAATAATCTGAAATGTGCTATGAAACATGTGCATAAGTTTATTTGTATAGTGGATTTCTCACATGCCGATAGTTTCCGTTTCGCTTTAAATACATTTGTTTGGCTTGGCACTTCTTGTTTGACAAATCTTGTTTATAATAAACGGCACTTTAATTTGTTTGTTTACTTAAGAGTTCTCATCCCTGTTCTGTTCTGAATACCATTACATTTGAAGGATTTGTTGTAGTGTTTGTAAACATTTTGTTTTATTTATCGGTATTTTACATTATTTTTTAATGTAATTCATAAATTTCTCTGGGGTTTTTTCTCTCAGCAATACAATTTTGACCTTGTGTGACTTATTTTCTGGACGTTAGGGTGCTAAGTGGTCGACCAGTTGATCGGTTTTGCCGAATAATCGGTACCGATAACCGATTGACAAAATCGTCAGAAATTCATGCCGGTAGTTTTTCCGTTGCTGGAGCAGCTGAGAAGGCTTATGTTTGTTTTCATTCACTATCCATTCTAAAAATGATCAGTTGATTAATCGGTTATTGGCCAGTCCCAATCTAGTTATCATTATCGGTTTAATCGACTATCAGTCGACGTCTAGTTCATTCATTCATTCTTTGCCAATGATAATTTCTGTTTAATATTTATTACAATTTTATTATGTATATAAAGTATCAACATTATATTGACCATCATTTGCTCTGTTCTCTAGTTATCAGCTTCAACCTTTAAGATGCCTGTATCGGTCGATCTAGAAAAATAATTAGAAGTAAGTCTGAAAGGTGTAGGCATATTTGTAGTGTTCATGAAGGAATGGCTGTGAAAGGAACAATCCTGGCCTCAGGCACATGCCTCAGTCTTGACCTTTGACCTCGACCTGAAGGATTCTTGACCTTTGACCTGAAGCCTATTTCAGAGAGTGCTGTTAAGAGGGTCCGTTCTCATTGGGTTCAATACACTCTTGTGTCTTTCCTTCAGTGTGTTTTCCCATAAAGCAACACTTTTCATCAAGCAGTCCCACACGTCCCGAGTCCTCTCCTGAAACAAAGCGTGTATTGTTGCGAACATAAATTACTGTTGAAACGCAGCCATAAACATCAGCCGGCGTGCAGAAATTAGAGCAGCGAATCAACGGTGCGCTGATTATTCGTGACACATCCGCTTAATGAAAAAACCCAAGCGAAAAGTGAAAACACATGCTGTCAAGCTGATAGTGGCTTTGAGATCTTCAGTTACGTTTGGCATCTCCGTTCACGGCCTTTGGTCTAGTTCTGATCCAAAAGCTGCTTTGCTGTGTAACATCTGCATACGCAGCATCTTCACTGAAATGGAGGCTCATGAAAGACTCGATGTAGACACGTCATATAATAAAACACAAGAGACTCAACTCAGTATATGTGTATGTTTCTAACCTAATGACATGATACTCTAATAAACATCAAAATACACACA